AATTAACCATTTTAAAACAAATCATGGGTGTGGACACCTAGTATATTTACAATGCTGTGCAACCACCACCTCTATCTAGTTCCACATTTCCATCACTTCAAAGTAAAACCCTAATAAGTCACTCTAAAATTTTAAAATTTCTTAATTTTTGACTTTGTATGTCATCTCTGTATGTTTCTAGTACCATGAACATACTCATTTGCTTGATGTTGCATAAAATAGCTTTTAAATTACTAACAATGAAATAATTTCATTGTTATCCATTTTGCAAAATATGTCCAATCAGAGGTTAAAGCTAGAGTACCATATTCAAGAGTTGTTTGAAATAATTCTACTTCGGCTGAGGTGAGTGAATTGCCTAAGCCTGTGGGTTTGAGACCCGCCTGGACAACTTGGTGAGACCTCATCTCTACAATAAATCAAAAATTAGCTGGGTGTGGTAGTGCGCGCCTGTAGTTCCAGCCACTTGGAAGGCTAAGGCAGAAGGATCGTTGCAGCCCAGCAGGTTGAGGCTGCGGTGGCCGGGAGTGGCCACTGTACTTCAATCTGGGCGACAGAGTGAGACTCCAACTCAAAAAAAAAAAAAGAAAAAAAGAAAGAAAGAAATAATTCGACCTCAATACCATCAGATCATTTGTTCTGGTTTATTTTCAACTCTAGAGTTGTTTTTTTTTCTGCCATCAAAAAATTTATTTAGTTTTCTTTCTTTAAATTCTAGAACAGATTAAGAGGTATCGGTAATATCTGTTTTTTGAAAGTGGTAGAATTTCTTGCAAAACTATCTGGTTTTATGTTTTCTGAAATAGGAGTCCTTTTTGGTAAGTTTCTTTAATTCTTCTATAGAAACTGGTTTACTTAAATTTTCTATATCTACTGGAGTTCATTTGGCAAATTGCATTTTTCTGCAAAGTTACCCATTTCAAATTTATTTGCATAGTTATATAAAGTAGTCCTTCAATGATCTTTTAAAAATTTCCTCTATATTAGAGGCTGTTTCCCCTTTTTCATTCCTCAGATTGCCTCAATAACATAGTAAGAATATGCCAGCCACTACAAAACAACCAAAACCCAAAAAAGATAGTATTTATGAGCTTTTTGAACAGGCAGAGAGTACCATGAAGGACCACTATGTTTGGGATTCAGCTTCTTTGTTAATTAAATGCAAAGAATAGCCGGACTTGGTGGCTCAGCCCGTGCCTTGGGAGGCTGAAGTGAGTGGATTGCCTGAGCCCGCGGGTTCGAGACTCGCCTGGGCAACTTGGTGAGACCTCATCTCTACAATAAATCAAAAAAATTAGCTGGGCGTGGTAGCGCACGCCTGTAGCTCCAGCTCCTTGGAAGGCTGAGGCAGAAAGATCGCCAGAGCCCAGTAGGTCGAGGCTGTGGTAGCTGGGAGCGGCCACTGCACTCCAGTCTGGGCGACAGAGTGAGACTCCAACTCAAAAAAAAAAAATGGAAAGAATACTTCTGGATCCATTATTCAGAAAAACTGCAGATTAACCAGTAACATTAAAAAGGTTTGTAAATATAAGTAGTCATATAAACCCACCCATAGAATGAATCAGTTGTATAATAACAAGGAAATTACGCCTGAAAAATGGAATGGAATTGACATAAGGGAAGGGGGTGACATACAGTCAATTTTCTAGAAACCATTTGAAGATAATCTTTTTTTTAGATTACTTGTAGAAACTTTCAAATTCCTGGGATACATTTCCATTGACAATATTCCTGGGTTTTCCACTTCCTTTCCTGTCACCACTCCTTAAAATACACATGCACACACACTTTTCAGTTAGTATTGGCTCTAAAATTACTAATACCTCTTATCTATTTTTTAATTTTTTTGAGTTGGAGTCTCACTCTGTCACCCAGACTGGAGTGCAGTGGCTGCTCCCGGCCACCACAGCCTCAACCTACTAGGCTCCAGCGACCCTTCTGCCTCAGCCTCCCAAGGAGCTGGAACTACAAGCGTGCGCTACCACGCCCGGCTGATTTTTCATTTATTGTAGAGATGAGGTCTTGCCAAGTTGCCCAGGCGGGTCTCGAACCCGCGGGCTCAGGCAATCTACTCACCTCAGCCTCCCAAAGCACGGGATTACAGGCTGCGCCACCAAGCCTGGCTACTAACACCTTTTAATAATTACCTTATTTAGACAGACAACCCACAAGAAAAATGAAATAAAGTTCAAAGTAAAATATAAATTAAGTCTGAGTAATCTACTAGTTTTGCATTATTTATGTTATTGCTCTATTGGACTAGAATGTTGAACTATACACGTTACTTATGCTTCTGCACTTAAACTTTATTTCATTTTATTTTTTTGAATCGGAGTCTCACTCTGTCATGCAGGATAGAGTGTAGTGGCACACTCGCGGCCACCACAGCCTCAACCTGCTGGGCTCAGGTGATCCTTCTGCCTCAGTCTTCCAAGTAGCTGAAACTACAGGCGCATGCTACCATGCCTGGCTAATTTTTTGATTTTGTAGACACGAGGTCTTTCCAAGTTGCCCAGGCTGGTCTCGAATCTGTGGGCTCAGGCAATCCTCTCACCTTGGCCTCCCAAAGTGCTGGGATTACAGGCTTGAGCGACAGTGCCCAATGCATTTAAACTTTAAAATATCTTAATGAAGTAGTTGTTATTACCCAATTTTGAGATGGAGACAATGAGACTTACCGGATAAGTATCTGTTTGCTTGCCTTAACTGTCATGATGTCCCTATCCTCTGGGAATTACCCACTTGGACCAAAGATGTAGGTGCCTGTCAGCAGTGATGAATCTGCCTTATGACCTCCTGGCCAAGCTTCCCGAGTGAGGGGTACATTCTAGCTAGTCCAAATTTTTTTCTTTTGTTTTGGAATTGAGATTCAGAGATGGTAAATTAATCCTTGTATATGACCGGAGTTATAACACCTGGCAGCTGTGTGGTACCTACTTTCTGCCTTGGGGATAGGTAGAGTATCAGAGTTCAAAGATAAAGGATGGATGAAGTAGATAATACAAGGGGAGATGCAGGGATAAGAAAAGGACTCTTCAGTTCCTAGTACTAGTCCCTCCCTGAAATTTGGTTTTCTCCTTCCCTGGGCTATTCTAAAACAACGTTTTATTATACATTCCCCTTTCTTGGTCAAGCAAGTTCAAGTGGATTCCTGATATAAGTAACGAAAAGAATCTGGAATATAGTTCCTGTCTCTTACAAGATCAGTGACAGTTTTCTATAGACAATTTGGAGATGATTTTAGATTTAGAAGATTATAATACTCTAGTAGAAGCTGCAGAGATTATTTCTCTCTCTTTCTCCTTTTACTTTACAGATGCATAAATGAGACAGAGAAATGAAATGCCAGTCCAAAGATGACTTAGCTAGCTGGTGGCAGAGTTGGAACCTGTTTTCCTTATTGTTCTTTACTCATTTATGACAACTAGCTAAATGGCTGGAAATTCAATCCATGACATTAAAATAATGTCCCATGAGACAAATATTGACAATTTAAAAAGAGGCGCAAACCCATTCATACCCTGATACACTTACCTTCCTGATTTTTTTTTCTTTTACAATACCATTCCCTCACACACCAGATGTTCTCAGTTTTATAAAGAGGATTCTACTTCAGAGATTGGTAGTTTGGAACATGGAACACATTTTTACACAAAACAGTGTCAAAGATGATTATTATGGTCCCAAGTTAGCCCCTGTAAAACCTACTTAACCCACAACACAACAGTTCTGAGGGAATTCTGAGGAAAAAACGCACTTTGTAATATGTACCAGTAGCCAAAATGCCAAGAAATGACATATCAAGAAATAACTAATCAAGTCACTTAATCTCTCTCAGCTCAGCTACTACTTCTAAAAAACATGGTGTTTACTACGACTCACAGAACTTCTAGTTTGGCAAGAACCCTAATGGACTACTTTTATTTTCTAAGATATTGTTATCATGAACACTTCAAACATACTGAATAACAAGTACAATAAACATCTACAATCCTATCACTTAGATTCAGCAATTATTAAACAATTTGCCATATTTGCTATATCTGTCTTTTAAAAAACCATTTGAAAGTAAGTTGAAAAAAACGATGATCAGTGATAGCTTTCAGTGGAAATTTTTGTGATAATGTTAGAGTTAGAAGATCACCATACCTTAGTAGAAGCAGCAGATATTATTTCTACCTCTCCTTTTATATCACAGACAAATAAATCAAACTCAGAGAAACTTAATTCTTAAATATTTTAGCATGCCATCACCTAAAACTAAGGACATAGCCTATGTACACTTTTTGGTAAAGGAGTAGACAGTAAATGTTTCAGGCCATACAGTTGTAACAACTCAACTATGTATATGTTGATGGAAAAAGGCATACAATACATAAATAAATGGGCATGATCATGTTCCAGTAAAACTTATTTACAAAAACAGGCATTTGGCCCACAGGCTGTAGGTGTTGACCCCTACTACATAACAACAATGCTATCATCACAACTAAAGTTAACAAGAATTCCCTAATATTATCTTTCAATTACTCCATATTCAAATTCTTGCAGTAGTCCCAAAATCTATGTAGTAATAGTTGTTATTCTTTTGTTTGCTTTCTTAACAGCTAAGCTTCTGGGCACCTAGGACACCACAGTAACAAGGGAGAGATAACATCATGAGAAATAACATCTGGCAACTCTGAAAAGCAGGCTATGCATTAATGCATTGCATTTATATCCTAAAACAACCTAAAAGAGGTTAAGAATCACTGCACTCTGCTAAAATTAATGCTTGTACATGTAAAGTTGTAATATCAGCTGTGTATCAATATATCAATATCTACTGCATATATAATCAGTACTGTGTATCAGCTGTGTATCAATATGCCAAGATCTACTGCATATATATATAAAGTCAACTGTACATCAAAGCAACATCAGCTTAATTAAAAATCAAGAAATTCATTAAAAAACCCAACTAGAATTATGTTTATTAAAAGGAGGAGCCTAGTACTTACCTAAAAATAGGACAATTAATAGGATGATAATTGTAAGGAAAGCCTTGTTCCAGAAAGTTGCAATTCTACTCCAGACATTAAATGAAAAAATCTTCTGCCACCTGTAAAGCAGTAAAATTACATTGGGTATTTAAAAAAAAAAAAAAAAACACAAAAGAAGGGTTTTAAATACTTTATGTATGCTGAAATAACATTTTGGTAATTGTGCAGCAAGTGAAAAGAATTACAGAAATTTGATGCTAAAATGTATTAATTCTCTGTCATGACACAGAAGGTCCCATGAAATAAAAAAACAACTCTTTCAAACTGAATAATAACCTGATATTTGATTATCTTCTGTCTGGTGACTTAAATATTCTAAAGTGAAAATAAACTTTAAAGTAAACATACATGAGCAATACCTTGAAAGGGAATTCTTATAGTAAAATGTCATGTTGTTGATAGACACTATTACTTTATATCTTTTTCTTTACTCAAAGTAATGCCTCAGAAATGATCAAGATTTACTGGTCTTTGTTATTGGTAACATTTCAGAAATAGGGGGTCTAGTTCTCTGCACATTTATTTTTACATAGTATACTTTTAACATCTATTCCAAGTAAAAATTTCTGTACTTTAACCAGAGGGAATTAAAAAAATTATACAGGTATCATTATATGCATAAAGTGAAAATTTCTTAAATACAAAGCTTGATAATTTTTACATATATACATACTCATGTAATTACTACTCAGATGAAGAACTGAACACAGAGGAAATAAGATGGGAAATAAATAGTCTAGATGGATTGAACAATATAAACAAAGACACAGGTAAGAAATCATGGGTTATAAATGGCAGAGTGACAAATCAATCCATTACACAACTGGAAAGGTAACAAACTTTGAACAAGGCCAATTTAAATGAACACCACATTAGTTAGTCCAAAGGAGACATATTAAGGAAACAAGCATGTAAATACACTTTAAGCACTTACAACTTTAAAAAAAGTTTTACTTTAAGATTATGATATATATATATACACACACACACACACACACACACATACACACACACACACATATATATATATATATATATATATATTTTTTTTTTTTTTTTTTTTTTTGAGTTGGAGTCTTACTCTGTCACCCGGGCTGGAGTGCAGCGGCATACTCACAGCCACTCCAGCATTGACCTGCTGGGCTCTGGTGATTCTTCCACCTCAGCCTTCCAAGTAGCTGGAACTACAGGTGCGTGCTACCATGCCCAGCTAATTTTTTATTTATTGCAAAGACGAGGTCTCGCCAAGTTGCCCAAGCTGGTCTTGAATCCGCAGACTCAGGCAATCCATTTGCCTCGGCCTCCCAAAGTGCTGGGATTTACAGGCTGAACCACCGAGTCCAACCAAATTAATATATTTTGAAAACAACTTTAACTACTTGTGATTGACGAGGAGAGGGAGACTGATATAGATGAAGCAGTTCTCTTTGCCTCTATGTCTCTAATTCTAAGCATTTTATATAGATGCTATTTAAATTACATAATATAAACATTACATATTTTTTATCTCCACTCTAAACATATTATCCTCCAAATTTTATGTTTTTAAGAAGAGAACATAAGTGGCAATATTTTGATCTGGGCCCAAATGTAAATGTCACATCTCTTCAAGGGTCAGTCTAGTATAAAAGGGAACACAGGAAACCTCCTATAAGGAAAAATTATTAATTTATAAAAAGACTCAATCTATATAGCTAAAAATAGTTAATATATATTGTATCCTTACTATATCACCATTCCAAGTACTTTTACACGTTTTATCTCATTTAATTACTACAAGTACCATGTGGAAAGTATTACCTCCATCATACAGATGGGGAAACTGGTCAGAAAGGGTCAATAACTTACCCAAAGTCACACAGTAACATGCAGAGTTGCAAGCGATATGATTTCTGAGCATGTGCTTATTTTAACCACTGGGTTATGTGAGAAGAGAATAGAGACTAAATGAAGAAAGAAGCCTTTTCTTTGAAGATTGTGGTAATACACATATGGAAGATAAAAAGATGTGGGTATACACATAGTATGGACATGTTGTAAATGATTTGTATGCATATATACCATCTTTTCTTAACGGTATTTGTACATGAGAGCATACTTATATGTGTGTGCATATAAACATATCTATCTAATTGCTACTTGATCAGGATGGGTAAAAATTATATTTGGGGCCAGGCACGGTGGCTTATGCCTGTAGTCCCAGCACTTTGGAAGACCGAGTCAGGAGGACTGCTTGAGCCCATGAGTTTGAGACCAACCTGGGCAACATAGAGAGAGCTTGTCTCTACAAAAAAAATTTAAAAAATGAGCTAGGTGTGGTGGTGCATGCCTGTAGTCTCAGCTCAAGCTACAGGCAGAAGCAAAAGGATTGCCTGAGCCCAGGAGGTTGAGGTTGTGGTGAGCTGTGATTGTGCCATTGCACTTTGGCCTGGATGACAGAGTGAGATCCAGACTCTAAAGGAAAAACAAATTGTATTTGAAAGAAAAAGACTGATCCATAATTTATGGACTGCCCTGATAGAGAAAAGATCAATTGACACAATTTTTTTGAGTGTGTACAAAATCTTTAAGCCTTATTTACAAGTCAGATGTTTATAAACAAGATCTTTCTCTTGAATACATAGAATTCTACTGGTGCAAATTTTACCAAAAAGCAAAACAGGGTGTTACAGGGTATAAAAAATGTACAGGATGAGAGGCAGCATGATGGAATTAAAAGAACACTGGATTGAGAGTCAGATTCTTACCTAGAATCTGTCACTTACCGGCTAGGTGACCTTAGGCCAACTACCATCCCTGGGTCTCAGTGTGTCATCTATAGAACGACTGGGCTGTTTCAAATAATATGAAAGATTCTATAGTGTGATTCAATTTTTTTTCTTTAGAAAAAGCTGGGTGTGGTGGCTCATGCCTGTAATCCCAGCACTTTGGGGGGGTAGAGGCGAGAGGATTGCCAAGCACAGGAGTTTGAGACCAGTCTGGGCAACTTGGCAAGACCTTGTCTCTACAATAAATCAAAAAATTAGCCAGGTGTGGTGGTGCATGCCTGTGATTCTAGCTACTTGCTCAAGGTTGCCATGGTCATGAACAGGTCCACTGCACTCCAGCTTGGGCGACAAAGTGAGACTCTGACTCAAAAAAGAAAAAAGGCTTTCTGATGGTATAGCTGATAGACAGGGACAGAAGAGAGTAGAAATCCAGGCAGGTAAGGAGCAAGTTAAGACTTATGAAAGACTTATATGGATCATGAGCTAAGGTAAAACTTCAATAAGTTTCTCTCAGTCCTGGGATTTTACTATAATCTAGTGGGTTATCTTCAGGATCTTATTTACAAAAGATTCTTTCATGCCATGAGTACAAACAAATGTCTTGCAACATTTTATTACAGGCGTATTTCACCATTCATGCTATCAAGTTTCTGGATCTAAAATGGAATTCCTAAAAGGTGAATATTATAAGGGTAAAGAGCACCAATGCGTGAACTGTAATACTGTACTTGGTACTTACAGACTTTAGAAGGTCTTTCATTAAGAAACTAATGCTAGGCCAGGCGTGGGGGCTCACGCCTGTAATCCCAGCACTTTGGGAGTTGGAGGCAAGAGGACTGCCTGAGCTCAGGGGTTCGAGATCAACCTGGGCAATTTGGCAAGACCTCATCTCTACAATAAAAAAAAATTAGCTGGGCATGGTGGTATGTATCTGTAGTTCCAGTTACTTGGAAGGCTGAGGCAGAAGGATCACCTGAGCCCAGCGGGCTGAGGCTGTTGGTGGCCGTGAGTGTGTTACTGTACTACAGCCTGGGCGACAGTGAGACTCCTACTCAAAAGAAACCCCCAAAAAACCAACTAATGCTAATATATGGTTTTGATACTTCTTATATTCAGTACTTTTAATATACACTTATTCCTTTTGTGTGAAATAAGAAGTAGTAAAAGTGTCATTAAACCTTAATGAAACTATTTCTTGGGTATATAAGGCCAAAATTAAGAATCACTTACTGGCTCGGTTTCTATTTACTATTTATTTATTGGCTTGGGTTTCTATCCTCAATGAAACACTTTTTTCATTCAAGCTGTTACTGTAAACATAATTTATCCACTTAGTTTATTTAGTTCAGGGCTCCAATTCAGGGCAATAAAACAAAGGTAAAAGTAAAACCTGTTGACAAGATAGGACAGGTGTTAAAAGTATTACGGTATTGTTTTTTTACATCTGTAATCAACAGAACCAAAAGTACCGGGCCCTTTTCCTTTTTAAAAGGGAGGAAAAAGTTATTTTATTTTTACACATAATACAAAGTTTCATGTAAAGTGATCTTTTTTGTTGTCATTATACATTATCTAATCTGTTTGGTGAGTTTATTAAGAGCACCTTTTAGGCAACTGGCTCTCCAAACTTTTAGACCTTGAGAAAACGTATCCCACTTTACACCACGAAGTCTGCAGGCGCGAGCAACTATTGATTACTGTTAACGAGGCGAAGGTTTCCTACCTCTGAGGAGGAATAAAAGGCAGGCAGAAGATTAAAATGAGTCCTATTTCAGCATAAAGAAAAGTTGCAACTGCCGTCCACTGGAGTGTCATCTTTTTTGTCTTCACACCTAAACACAGAAACACTTCTTTTACCTTGCTTCCTTTCAAAGCAAGCTGGGTTAGAGGTCCCGGGGCGCAACGTTTTTGTCCCAGGGGTGGACCGCGGCACACCTGCCGGGCCGGGAGGGAGCCCGGGGGGCGGCGCCTCCACCTCCCCGCGGGCCGCGCGCAACCCGCGGGCGCCAACGACTTCCTCCTGGGCGGGCTGCCTCCCTCCGCCCTCGCTTCGGGCCCTCCCGCTTCCCGGGTCCCAGACCAGT